AAAAAAAAAATTAAAAAAATAAAATAAAATAAAATAAAATATTCTTAAAATTTCTGCTTTGTTGAAAGATTTTTTAAAAACAGACCTTAATTTTCACAGCCAAATTTCAGAACTTAAGCAAAAAGCCAACAGCCCTCCAGAAGTTCAAAGACAGTATCAAAATGTCTTCTGACCGTGAGATTATACAATTTTGATAACACAGCAGTACAGATAATTTCACTTCTATAACAACATGTAAGGGCCGGCCAAATAGCTCAGTGGATTAAAGTGCCTGCAATCAGGTGCAGGGGCCAGGGGTTCGATTCCTGGGCCTGCTGCGCCAGCCCTGTTCCCAGGGCTCACTGAGATGGCAATTGAGACTGGGTGTGGTGGTGCTCCCGTGTAATCCCAGCTCTTGGGAGGCTGTAAATAGGGGGATCACTTCAAGTCCGATCTAGTAGTGAAACCCTGAACACCCTGTAGATCCTTCCCTAAATAAAAAAATAAATTAAATTAAAAAATAAATAATATAGTAACATGTAATATAAGAAATATTTGTTTTTTACGTTCCAGCTGTTGGTCAGTGTCACGCCATAACACTGAACAGCTCTTACAAAGTTAACAGCCACAACTCTTGCCTGAAACATAGTGTAACTTCAGACAATAATGATATACATGTAGATAAAGTACAGAAAAAAAAGACTGACATAGAATTTATATAAGAACTAAAAGGTAACATTTAGAAAATGCTAAGGATTTTAAAAAGCAATTCTAAACAATATTTATTTGTAAAAACAAGATTCTTCATCCAAATCAACAAAAATGTGTGAGAGAAAAAACTTGGGATGAGTGAAAATGTACGCAACAGCACAGAACTCTCATTATAGAGAGGTATGGAGGCAGGTAACAAGGGCACCTCTCACCATGCACTAAACTAAAATCTAAATGGACCAAGGATCTAAATATTACAGCAGAAACAGCCCACTGGAAGATAAAATAGTTATAGTAGCCAAGGACTTTCTTTTTTTTTTTTTTTTTTTGCAGAACCGGGGATTGAACTCAGATCCTTGTGTTTGCCAGTCAAGCGCTTATCCTACTGAGCCATCTCCCCGGCCCCCCAAGGACTTTCTGAACAGAACTCTAACTGCATAAGGAATAACATCAAAAATCAGCAAATATTAAATTAAAAAGCTTTTGCACAACAAAGGAAACAAGCAGCACAGCAAAGAGCCAACTGATAGAACAGGGAAAAATTTTTGTCAGCTATTTCTGAGACAGAGGATCAGTATTTTAAAAATTTTATTTATTTGTTTGTTGGGTAGAGTGTCTCACTACACAGCCAGTATTTAGAATACATAAAGAACTCAAAAAAATTACTGCCACCAAAAGACAAGACCCACTAAAAAACTGGCAACTGGAATAAACATTTCTCAGAAGAAACATAAATAAGGGGCCGGGGAGATGGCTCAGTGGAATAAGTGCTTCCCTGGCAAGCACAAGGACCTTAGTTCAATCCCTGGTTCTGCAAAAAAAAAAAAAAAAAGACAAAAAAAATTTTTTTTAATAAAAAAGAAGAAACATAAATAGCCACTAATATATGAAAAAATGTTCAACATCTCTCATCTCACAGAAATATATATACAACACAGATTCTACTTTACTCCAGAAAGAATGGCTTTCATCAAGAAATCAAATAATAAATGCTGGAGAGGCTGTAGGAAACAAAGGAAACCCTTCTGCATTAATTAGTATATGAACATAAACTAGTACAACCACTATAGAAATCATTTTGGATATTCCTCAAAAAATGAGAACTAGAAATTCCATTCACTTCAGCTATTCTCCTAGGTATCTTCCTGAGAGAGCTAAAAGACATTACTTGCCGGGATACAAGCGTACCCATATTTATATCACCACAACTCATAACTCTTGGAAGCAGTCTATGTGTTCATCAATCAAGAATAAAGAAGTATTTACACATAATGGAATATAACTGTCACAAAAAAGGATAAACTTTGAAAGCATAATGTTAAAATAAATCATACATACAAGTTTAAATATATGATTTATCTTGTATAGAAACCCAAAATATACATGAATTAAAGAGCAAAATAAAAGATAAACAATAGGAGACAGAAAGGTAGCTCTTTTGCAAAAGGAAAATGAACCAAAAGATGGAGGCGCTATGGAGGGAAAGGGGATATAAAAAAGAATTACGACGTACTACAAACATGTGCCACCTCCACACAACGAATGCAATCATTACATACTGCAACCACTGTACTAGCAGAATGTTTCTAAACAGTGGGAGACAGGTAACAGGGGAGATGGTGAGGACTGGAATATAAGAACTGACCCTTCAAATATGAAGCTGGGGGGAGAGTAAGACAAGGGGTGGCAAGGGTGTAAAATGATCAGTTGGTTAGGTACATGCAGGGATCTTTCAAAATAAAGCTTATTAATCTATATAACCAATATGCACTAATAAAGGACAGGTATCAAATGTATATTTACTATGAAAACAGGTCTTACCTCGTGAAAGTGAAATGTCAGATATATTTCGTACACATATTAAATGACTTTGTACTGGCTTGTGTTCAACTTGTTTAACATTCTGGTCTTGCCTTTGTTCATTCTGAAGAATGTAAGACACAAAGTCATTATTATTGTTCTTCTTAACCTTAAAAAATTAAATACAATTATTCAGGTGTTCAATATTGTTACATAAGATTTTAATAATAATATGGTTGCTTTCAAATTGCCTTGTTAATGGGTTATTTGCAGCTCTAACAATAAATGAGTAGTGGAGTATAATTTTTAAAGATGATTGCAAGAATATTTTTTAAATGATTTAAAAAATGTTTAAATGTTTATAAGGAAGTTTAAAATACTTCATAATGTATCCAAGTTTCAAATACTTAGGTCATTTCTTTTAATTTTATTAGAGAATCCAGAGCTACTTATAAATCAAATTATTCTATATTTATATAATGTGATACTTAGATACAAACTTAGTTCTGCGGTAAATTCTACATTTTTTTGCATAAAATGAAAATAATGCACTAGAATTTTCAGAGCTTTTGTACATAGTAACCTAACTTAATTCCCGTGTGTCAGAAGGTGTCCTTCTCCTCCATTTGTTAGTCAAAGAACACATGTTCACCAGGTGTGGCAGTACACATCTACAACCTCAGCACTAGGTAGGGCCGGCCAAACAGCTCAGTGGATTAAAGCACCTGTCAGCAGGCCGGGGGTTCGATCCCTGGGCCTACTGTTCTGTGCCAGCCCCGCCCCTGGGGCACGCTGAAACGGCAATTGAGACTGGGCATGGTGGCGTGTGCCTGTAATGCCAGCTCTTGGGAGGCTGTAAACAAGCGAATCACTATGAGTACGATCTAGTAGGGAGACCCTGAACACTGTAGACCCTTCCCTAAAGTACAAAAAAAAAAAAAGAAAAATCTCAGCACTTGGGAGGCTGAGGCATAAAGATCACTGTGAGTTCAAGGCCAGCCTGCACTATATAGTGCGAATCTTGTCTCAAAAAAAGAAGAAACACATGCTCTACCATAAGCCCTATCATCTTTTTTCCTTGCCTAAAACTACACTCCAAATCTACAAGTCATAAATTTCTTCACAACCACATCACCAACTATGATGACTATAACCATTTTCTTTCTTTCCTCTATGTGTTTTATTATGAATGAGTCATAAAAATTGCCATCAGATACACAGTAACAGAAACTTTTAAAAAACAGTTCTTGAGGGCCGGGGAGATGGCTCAGTAGAATAAGCACTTGCCTGGCAAGTACAAGGGCCTGAGTTTAATCCCAGGTTCCACCAAAAACAAACAAACAAAAAAACAGTTCTTGAACCTTATAAACAAATGTAAGCAGGAAACCTGAAACCCGTCTAGGTGGACTCACAGCTACACATTGCAGCTCTCACAGGGACAGTACTTCCTGGAGAGGCGGACGTGAGCAGCTGTGGATTGCAGTGCTAACAAATAATAAGTCTCCTTTCAAACGTGGTTATTAGTAGAATAGGCTTCTCTCTGAAGGGAAAACCACTTTAGTCTAAAATAGGTGCTCTATGTGCATCTCTACTTCAAAACTGCGAACTCCAAAATGCTCCAAAATTCCAAACTTTTTGAGTACTGGTATATTAATGTCTCAAAAGGAAAATTCTCCATTTGACCTCTTGTGACAGTTGACAATTAAAATACAGGCACATTAAATATATAACATTCCCTTCAGACTGAGGTGTACAGGAAACAAACTATGTTTGGACTTGGGTCCTATCTACAAGGCATCTGATTAAGTATATGTAAATATTTTTTTAAACCTGAAATCCAAGCATTTCAGAGATAGGACACCCAACACAATCTTTCCATCTCTGGCTGTAATTCTACCGGTTCCCTTCACCTCGGCTGCACCCTGGAGAGCCGAGGCCCAAGTCAAAGCTGGCTAAGCCACTCTAGCTTTGGCCTTGAACAAGTCACTGAAAGTTGATCTCCTCACTCATAGAGTGGGAGAAATAATAACAAATACTTCACTAGGTATTCAACCCAAAACTTCACTAGGTTGTCATAAGAACTGAGTTAAGACAAATAATTTAGGATCTAGCAAAGCAAGCACTGTAAATAAGTGCAGTGTCATTACTCAACGAATCTTAGCTAAAGAAATGTAACAAAATTGTTTTTTGAGGTCCATTCTTCTGGAAGCATTTTGCAGTTTTATTTAAAACAGACTAATAATTAAAGGCAAGCAATCTTTTATTTTTTTAAACAGTTTTACTGAGGTATAAGTGACAAGCTAATGAACTGTATGTACTGAAAACGTACAGCTGCTCAGTTCTGAAACGTGTAT